AGGTCAATGAAAAGAGTCCTCACTAGTTAAAATGACAATGCATGCCCACAAATAACTAAAATTCCAGGTAGAAAGTAGCAGGTTCCCCTAAAAGAAGTACAGGAGTAGGACAGGAGTCCTAACACCAGAAAGAGTTTCATTTAGTTTATCGAGAAAGGTTTCAAATAAATGCTTTACTGTTAAGCAGTGAAAATTTGAAAGCGGACAGGGAACTCTCAAGGACATGAGATAGGCAAATCAGGAACACCTGAAAATGATAGCCCCTTAGGAGGTGCTGTCAAGGTTTTACCAACTGAAGTAGAAGTAAAGAAACAAGAAAAGCCAAACTGAACCAAGTATACAAGAACTGATTTTAGAAGACTTTGAATGCTAACTGAACGAATTTAGACTGAGGAGTGCATGCAGTTACTGAAGATCTTTTTAAACAGTATCACAGTCAGAACTGTGCTTCAGTATAGTGAGTGATGAACAACACCATCCTCAAAGCCAAAGAAATTAGTTCAAAATTTAAATGTGTGTGCATGTGTGTGTGTGTTTTACCAAAACACAGACGTGAAATAAAGTCAGTGCCTGCTGATTTTCCTCTTTGTTGTTGTCACTTCTTTGTCACTAAGTGGCAGATATTTTTTAGTCTCACTGTGAATCAGCTGGTCTTGCCTCTGCCTTCATAAAAACTATTATGCTAATTAAAGATCTTACCCAGACCCTTTGCTGTAGTTTCCACTGACCTGGGCCTGTCCCAGCGGCTAGGCCAGTACTGGCTGTGCAGCAAGGCAGTCGTGACATCTTGTACAACTTCCTGATGAGGCATCTCTCCAGCTGAGATTTTGGCTATCTGAGGAGCCATATACCTTGAAAAGTGCCAGAGCAGATGAGTAGACGAGACAAAGAAGACAGATGCTTGCTTGCTTCTAGTGTTAAAAAATACTACATGTTAAACTACATGTGCTTCAGGTAGCTCTTTACAGCTCAAATAGAACTGACGAGTTTTACCTTGGGGAACTAGCAGGCTTTCTCATCAAGCAAGGTGATTCATGAACAATGGCTAGAAAAAAGACACTTCACACTCTTCCTCAGATGAAAAATGTCACCTTTTCTACTGATGCTTTAGATTCTACATGTTTTCAATAAATGAATAACAGAGGTGAGATGAATCAGCTCTAAGCTGTATCTAAAGGAAAGTTAAACATTTTTAGCAGAGAAACTTTGTCTAACTAACCCCTCCTAAGACATCTCTTGACTGTCTTGCATGGACAGCACTAATAATATCTAGTCTGCTTCTGAATTTAGCCTGTGCAGCCCTGGGTGGGTCATTTCACCTCTTTGAACCCTAGGGTCTTCAGTTATAAAATTAAAACTATGGGGCAAACAGGTGGCATGGTGGTTAAGCCATATAGTTGACCATGGTTCAAGTCATAAACCTGGCAACTTGCTTTCTCACTTTCTCTCTCTCTCTGGTCAAATCAAAAAAATAAAATAATGATAATGAACAAAAATAAAGGAATTATTTTAAAAAATAAGTAAAATGAAAACTATACCCTTTTTTATGTGTCTTGATTGCCAACGGGCACATGTGCTCATCAGAGAGAGGAAGAAAGAAAATACCTCCAATGGGGCATAATCATGCTGCAGTCATTTTTCCTCCATTTCTCCACCCACCTAGTGTGTTTTTCAAGCTTCCAGGACTCAAACCACAGTCAGTCATGTGGAATCCAGCTACCTATACACAGCACTTAACCACTGGGCTAAAGGGCTGGCCTAAAAATCTACCTTTTGTGTAGGGGTAAATATGAAGATTAAATGAGATAATGTCTTAGATTTCCTTCAAAATAACACAAGAAATGAGAAAAGGTTAGGATATAGGTGAGTCATGATTGACCATTAGGCAGCAGTTCTTGGAGCTGAATTAAGTCCCTAAAGGTTCATTATAGCATTCAAGTTACTTTAATCTAAAACGTTTTAATTTTCCATAATTAAAACTTTTTTAAAAGATGAAACCAGCAAATAGTTGTATGTTTCTAAGATGGAATAGTATACCTCAAAGAGTTGAAGAGTTAATCATTGAGATAGATTTTATTCTTAGGCAGCTAAATGCTTATTATTCAGCATGTTCCATTTTGTAGTTCCCCAAAGGGTAGATGAATTGAGCTAAATTTGTTTTTTCTGTGAGACCATAGTTTGAAAATGTCTGCACTTATTCTGTCATCTGTTACTTCTTACTGTCTACTGAAGAGAAACCAAAGAGTCAATCTTGACTTTTTAATTCATAAGAAAGAATCACTGGGACCAGCAGATGGTGTAATGGTTGCATCACTGGATTCCCATGTAGTTGACCATGGTTCAAGTCCTGTACTCAGTGGCTTTAAATTCACACCGTGTGTGTGTGTGAGTGCACGCGCGTGTGCATGAGTGTGTGTACGTGCACGCGTGCACCCAAAATCCCAAAAGAAGAATGGAGGAGAAGGGATTGTGGCATGACCATTCCCCCTGGGGGGTGATTTCTCACTTTCTATCTCTCTGGTGAGTGCATATGCCCTGTAGCAAAAAACAAACAAAAACTCTCTAAAAAAAGAAAAAGAAATAATCATTATACTGCAGTCTGTGTGATTTTTTTTTTTTTTTGATGGTAGAAGGTAGATGTGATTATTGTGTAATTTTTTTCCTTCATATGTTCCAGGTTTTACATTACTAGGAAGACATTTGGACCACATAGCATTTTTTTATCTGTTCTCTGACTTTATTTTGTAAGCAACATGCTATTTCCACTCGAAAGGCCACTTTACTTTGGTTTATAAAAGCAAATGTCTTAAATCGACATAAAAGGCAGAATATTTAAACATGCTCAAAGAATTTTCAAATCAGGTCATGTACTATTTGCAATTCAAATTTCATTTTTAAAGAACTTTAATACTGTGGAGATTTGATTAGTAGTTTAGAAATAGGTTGTACCTTATTGCTTATACATTCAAATAGGCTTACTTTCGAGATTTGTTTATACAGTCTAGAACGTGATTTAAATATACTGAACCAAACTTTTGGGAGCATGCGTGCACATGTGCCTGGCATGTCTCAAGCCACCAGGTCCAGGATTTGAACCATGGTCAATCATGTGGGATCCAACTTTCAACACATAGCACTCAAGTGCTTTGCTATGGGTCAGGCCACTGAATCAAATTTTGATACATTTTTAAATGCAGTTATATTTAAAGTAGATATTAAGTATCAGTCCCATCTTCAGGTTGGGGAACACATAAGCCATAGTGTGTGTGAAAATGTCTCTAAGTGTTTGGGACCAGTTAGTTATAACTGAATTTTTTCTCTACTGTCTCAGCTTCTTCTAACTGTCTTTTCTCAACTATCCTTTAATGCCTAGTTCTTATTCTCTAGTACTAAAGAAAGGTCCAACTCTCTCTTACCCATGTGACCCAAGGGTACAAAGACCTCTACAAGGGAGGGGCCAAAAGTGAGAATTCGAATATCATGTCATCTAGAGGACTGCATGACTAATGATTAATACATTCTTATGCATGTCAGATGATTTTAAATCCATTGCTGCCAACAAAAATGAAGGACCAAATTAAGTTGTCCTATGACAAATCATTGAAAAGAGCCTCTGGTGAAAATCATTAAGAGTTTTGTTTTGTTTTTAATTTTTGCTATTGGGTGTGTGTTCCCACGGGAAATAGACGAGGGTGGGGAGAGTGAGAAGGCCCCACCTCCATCCCTAGGGCACCTCAATCCCTCTCCCCCATTCTCCTTTCAGGATGTGGGCATGTATGCACAGGTGCCCCATGTGTTTTTCAAGCTTCGGGTCCCAGGACTCAAATCACACAGTTGGCCTTGTAGGCTCTAGCTACCTTAACCAGCATGACACCTCCTGGCCCAGATTGAGAGATTTTTGACCTGGAATTCAGAAGTTCAGAGAGTTATAGTGACACTGCTATAACAAAAATGTATCTACTTTATGTAAACTAGGTCTCCCATCACTTATATCTATAAAAACAATACCTAGTGATAGAATTAATGCTGAACCATGTCTCATTCTAGCAATAAGTAAAATTGATCAGCAAATACATGAACTCATGAAAAAAAATACAACCCATTAAAAGGATTTTTTTTTTAATAGAGAATTTTGCTATAGAGTGTGTGCACTCGCCAGAGACAGAAAGCGAGAAATTATCTCCCAGGGGGATGGCCATGCTGTAATCCCTTCTCCTCCATCCTCCTCTTGGGATTTTGGGCATGCACATACATGTGCTCTGCAACTCCGGGACTCAAACCATAGTTGACTCTGTAGGAGTCCAGCAACATAACAATTACGCCATCTGCTGGCCCCAAAAGGAATTTTTAATCAATTCTTGTTCTTGTTTATTGATCACAAATATTTTTAGATATTGTTGCTGTTTTAGGCAGTTATTTGGAATAATTACAATGATAATTCTAATTGAGAGATTTATTTTTGATATATAGAGACTTGAATTCCCAGGTAATCTTTAAGTCCTTCTTACATTTAAATTTATATAATTTCATGGCCGAGAAATACGATGTGGTAATCAAGAAAAAGCCACTCAAGCATAAAATTACATTGCGTTAAGATAAAATTGTGTGGGGAAAGTGGAATAGAAAGAGAAATGCAAAAAGAAAAAGAACCAATGACATGCCTATTGCCAATTCCTATTTTAAAAGTTCATTTGTGTGTTCCTTTAAATGGTGGGTCTCAAATGACCTAGGCTATTTAGATCCCACTGGAGAGTGGAACAGCTTTATATTTAAATGTTAGTATTCTAATAGATGGGGAAATGACATACTTTGCAACTTAAGAAAAAAATTAGTTTGCGAACTTAAAATATGGAATTATTTCATGAGGTATATGAGCTGACGTTTGATGCCCTCTAGTCCACAGCATGTTAGATGCCATGGCAACCAAATCTTAAAGAAATACACTGCAGTTACAGAATGTACCACCAAATCTAATAGAAGACGTTGCCTTTATTCAACAGGACGGCCTGACGCCGCTGCACTGTGGAGCAAGGAGCGGCCATGAGCAGGTGGTGGAGATGCTGCTTGATCGAGCTGCCCCCATTCTTTCCAAAACTAAGGTAATTTCAGGTTTCTGGACATTAGCTGGTATTGAGCTTTGGGTCTCTGCTGGTCTCTAACCCATTCTTCTGAATCCCATAGACAGTGACACAATTTATTTTATTATTTTTATTATTATTGTTTATTTTTATTTATTCATTCATTTACTTTTAATTTGAGTAGAGAGAGAGAGAGAGAAAGAGAGTTACCAGATCCAGGGTCTTGAACTGTGGTTGGCCATGTGGGAGTGTCCAGGCCCCTTAACCACCACGCCACCTGCTGGTCCCGACAATGACACAGTTTCAATTTAGCAGACTAGCTATGTTCTCAGATCTTTAGAGAACCTCAAAATGATGTGGGTTTAGGAAGCCCTTATGTGGTAAGCATTATACCAGAGAGTCATTTGTGGGTGGAGTTTGTTTTGTTTCAGGAGCACCTCACTTTTTGATTTTACTCTATGAAATTTTCATAAATCTTAAGTGATTGCTTGTTAGGTTAAGAAAGATTGAAATTTCTACACTTCCAAAAGTCTGGGTGCTGTTTTTTTCTCCAATCCCTCAGTTTATTTCTGAAGACTTCACAGATGTTAAAGAGCCCAAGGATTTAGCGGATAAAAAGACTGGAAGATTTGGAAAGGTGCACCTTGATTGGGCCTTTGGAAAAGCTGACATATCTGAAAGAAATATGAGGTCATCAGGAAAGTCATGAGACATTTTTACATAGAAAACATGAAACTACATCAGGACTTTTCGGATGACCCAATACCTCCTGATTGCCTAAAAGCAATTGGTGTTTTACTAAGTGTCCTTTAGGTATTTTTGTTTGTTGTTAATGGGAAAACCATTTGATACAGTTTGAAACGGGAAATACTTGAGATTAAATTTTGAGACATACAAATGACTTGATAGTCACTACTATTTTTATTAATCAAATCAGTGATTTATAATATTTTAAGCTTTATAAAGAGCCTTAATTTCTAAACATGATCAAAGCAACAAGTGCACATGCTATTCCTGACTGGACACTGGTTGGTGTTCCCTCATTGGCTCTGAAAGACTAGATAGGGTTGGTGTGGTCTGAACAATTCCATTCCTCACTTGAAATGCAGGGTTTAGAGCGGTGAGCCATCAGAGGTATTATCCAATGGAATTAAGCAGCCACAGCTTTTTCGTTTTATGCAATGATATCTTGGTCTGTCAAATGCGCCTCATGTTTTCCATTCCCTTCGTTCTTCTCCTTTATCTGGCCCACATCTCTTCTCTCCACCTCTTCTGCTATCTTCTGAGTCGCACCATCTCTCGCTGAAATACAGGACTTCCTCTCGTTCTGCATTTGTCCAGTTTCTACTTTGCAATGGGAGTGGTCAGATAAACTGTCAATCAAATCATGTCAACCTCCTGCTTAAACATTCTCCAACTAGGGGGCGGCAGGAGATATGGTGGTTAAGGCTCTGGGCTGCCATATGGATGACCACAGTTCAAGTCCCAGATCTGGTAGTTTGAAAACTTGAGAATTATGCCAGGCATATTTGCATGCATGCCCAAAATCCCAAGAGAAAAACAGAGAAGGGATTGCAGTGTGGCCATCCCCCTGTGGTATGATTTGTCACTTTCCCTCTCTCTGTCTTTCTCTGGTAAGTGCATGGACACCATAGCAAAAAAACAAACAAGCAAAAACTCCTCCATTTAATTCCATTGTTCGCCTTAAAATCTATTTTTATTTTTATTTTTACCAAAGCAATATTGGCACAGTTAAAAATCTAATTGCATTGGGACCAGCAGTTGGCGTAATGGCTATGTTGCTGGGCTCCCATGTAGTTGACCGCAGTTTGAGTCCTGGACCAGGTGGCTTAAAACTCACGCCTGGCGGGGGTGCATGCATGCCTAAAATCCTGAGAGGAGAATGTAGGAGAAGGGATTGCAGCGTGGCCATACCCCCTGGGGAGTGATTTCTCTCTTTTTGTTTCTCTGTCTCTCTGTCTTTCTGGCAAGCGCACATGCCCTATAAAAAAAGCCTCTCAAAAAAAAAAAAATCTAATTGTATCATCTTTTTTCTTCTGTTTATCTCATTATTGATAAGGGTTTTTCTTTCATGCTTTTCATTTTCAAGAACATTTTCTTATTTTCTGATAAGTTCTTAAAGTATCTTGTTCTTGTTTTGTGGGTGCAATATTTTCTATTACCTCTTTGAGAACAGTAAGAAAACTTATATAATTTAATTTCTTTCTGCCTCTCCTATGTCCCTAATTCCTCAGATTTTCTTGTTTCTCTTTGTTTGGGCTCTATCTTTCATATTGAGAAATCCCACAAGTGTCTGTACTGACTGAAAATGTCAGACACGAACATTTGAGTGGAAGTCTGTGAGTGTAGACAAGGCTGATGATACAGTACTTTTTTCAATGGGAGAAATCTAGTTTGTTTTTTGTTGTTGTTTGTTTGTTTTTTAGTTTTTTTCTATAGAGTATGTGCAATTGCCAGAGAAAGAGAGACAGAGCGAGGAAAAGTGAGAAATTGCCCTCAATGGGGATGGCCATGTCGTAATCCCTTATCCTCTATTTTCCTCTCAGGATTTTAGGCATACATACATATGTGCACAGTGTGAGGGACAGTTTAGTTTTTTTTTTTTTTTTTTTTTAAGAATTATTTAATTTGTTTGTTTTAATTTGACCAGAGAGGGACAGAGTGAGAGACAGAGAGAGAGGGAAAGTAAGAAAGCAAGCCACCAAGTTCAGGACTCAAACTGTGCTCAGCCATGTGGGAGTCCAGTGTCCTTAACCACCACGCCACCTATTGACCTATAGGCCTTTTCGTTTTTTGAGAGGCAAATCCTCTAACCTTGTGTAGGACACACTTGTATGAATAGGTTCTGAATAAAGGAACAGGGACTCTCAGTATTCCTGCCTTCTATGCATACTTTATATGTATTTTCGCTTATTGTGATTATAGGTATAATCACAATAATCATTCGTTTACGTAGTGACTACCACATATGAGGCTGTAATTTAATTCATTTAATCTTTACAATAACTCTGAGATTATATCAGAGTTATTGCTATTATATCCATTTCATAGAAGGGGAAACTGAAATCCAGATAATAAGCTAACCCTCTCAAGACAGCTCAGTGAGTGGCAGAACAAGAATTGAACTCAGTCTAGCTCTAGAGACCGTATCCCTGTACTGTCCTTTTCTCGCGATCATCTATTGTCAGTCCGGATCTCACCCCTACTCTCCTGTCAGCCAAGGCCTCCAAGTCTGAATCTCGCTGGTTTATCTTCACCAGAGACTAAACACCTTGTTTCCTACCAATTAGAAGGTGGCAGTCACCTTTCTTTGCTGGGATGGGAAGGGCCCAAAGACCTGGTAACTTCATGCAAAGGCTTTGAACCAATCTTGTTCTCAACCCCAAGTCCCATTCTTATCTTCCAAGGTACTACTATATTTCCATATCCCTTGCCCCCTGAGATTTGAGAGGTCAATAAGCTTGTCTTTCTGATACCTAGCGATGTGCTGGAGGCAGATTGTATGGGCTCACCAGAGCCAGCAGTGTGCGTCTCTGCCCCAATCCCACAGTCAGTGACAACCCATGAGCGCTCGAAGTTAGTCACGGTGGGGTCTTTACCCCCTGGGGCTTAGCAAATGGTATGCATTGGAGATTTTCTTTTTAGAAGAGTTGGTGGTTAAACATTTGTCAGCACAATGCTGTTGTACCCCTCTGCAGACATCTAGGCTGTAACCTTCTCACTTGTGCCAGGTGAGTTACTTCCTAAACCCTCTGCTCACATTCCAAGATGTACAGACGTCACTCATCTGTTTTTGTTTCCTTTCATTGTGTATGAGTGCGTGTGCCCTCGTGGAGTTTACCTTTTAAATTCTGACTGCTATTTAGTGGAGTTTGGGGAAAGAAGGGACAAACACGGGCTACATCTCTCATGTTTAACCAGAAGTTTCCGCCCATTCTGACCATCTCTGCCTTGGCCTCCTTTTATCTCCTGGAATATACATGTTCTCACTTCCTGTTCCCTCAGGTGGAGCTCTCAGTGCATCCTAGATCTCTGTGGTCTCCACATATTCTTCAACTCAAATAGCTTCTTCTCAGACCAGCCTTTTCTGAACATCCGCCCTCTCACACTCACCACCCCCTAACTCCATGCGATTTGACCATATTTTATTTCCTTTACAGCTTTAAACACCATCTTGAAATGACCTCTTGGTTTACTTGTTTGCTTTCTGGCTCTCTTCGGTGGAATGAAAGCCAAATTTTTCCTTGTTCAGTGTAGTACCCCAGTCAGATTAGTGCCCAGCACATAGTAGACCTTCAATAAATATTAGTTGAATAAATATTAAGTGACTAAATGTATTACTAGCTTTAAGGCTGTCTGTCCAGTTATTCAAGACTTCATCTTACTGAACTAAGAAAGTCCTTCACACTAGATCTGTACTTTTAGGTACCAAATGTCATCAAGCCTCTTTCCATTGGCCAGATGATCTTTTCTTTTCTTTCTTACTTACTGCCAGAGGGTGCAGGCACTCACCAGAGAGAGAGAGAGAGAGACCGTCCCCAATGGGACATCATAATAACATATTCTTTTTCCCTCCATTTCTTCATCCCATCAGGATCCTGGCCGCACATGCATGCACGCACACCCAACATATTTTTAAGCTTCCGAGGTTCGGATTCAAACCACAATGGGCGAGGTGATATCCAGCTCCCTATGGACAGGGCTTACCTGTTACACTATGGGATTGGCCCAAATTATCTTGTTTTTTGTTTTTTTTTTTTTACTTTTCCCACGACTTAGGAGTTTTCCATTTAAACACCATTTTGCGTATTGTTAGAGAGTTTCCTTCTGTTAGGAACAGCAGATGACACAATGGTTATATCACAGGACTCCCACGTAGTCGACTACAGTTTGAGTCCCAGACCTGGTGGTTTAAAACTTACACTGGGTGCATATGTGTGCATGCCCAAAATCTCGAGAGCAGAATGAAGGAGAAGGCCATTGCAGCTTGGCCATTCCCTCAGGGGATGATTTCTCCTTTCTATTTCTCTGTCTCTCTGGCATGCACACGCACCCTATAGGAAAAAAAATCTATCTACAAAAAGAGACAGAGAGAGAGCGAGAAAAGTTCTTTCTATCATGGAAACTTCCTTCCATTTTTACTCTCCAAGTCATGTATTCTTTCAGATTCTGTTTCTTTGTTTCTGTTTTCCTCAAAGACAGTATCAAAACAAAGCAAAGGAATGCTTTGGCAGACACAAACCCATGCATATGCTCGCTGGTGGCAATATCTCAAACGGGAGACGTTACCTTAGTTTCCACTTTGGTTTAAAGTGTTTGAGGAGAATTGTTCACGCAGAAATGCCCTGATTGACTGACGGTGTGGGGAGGTCTTTAAATTTACATGAATGTTGATGGAGCTCCTTCTGTATACGCAGGACTCTTCTGCTGTGTGATATGGGGAAAATAACAAACGCTCTGCCTTCAAGGACTGCAAATAGTTGAAGCTCTGTTATGTGTCAGTTGAGTAAATAATGTCCCGAGAGTGACTAAAAGAGGGCTTATGTTACTTTTTCTTATCTTGTCCATAAATAAATTAGGTAGAATTTACTTAACCCAGAGGATCAGAAACACCTGGTTCATTGATACATATTCTATGTCATTATTTTCAAAATTCATCGACTTTTTGAAAACTGAATTTGCTGTCAAGTTGCTTTTTTTCCCAAAATAAGTTATATTTGTGTTACAATAAATAATAGAGCCTCTCTTAATAATTAGGGATTTCTGGGGCCAGCAGGTAGCATGGTGGTTAAGGTGCTGGAATTCCCACATGGCCGGCCATGGTTTGAGTCCCGGACCTGGTGGCTTGCTTTCTCACTCTCCCTCTCTCTCTCTGTCTTTCTCTGGCAAAACTCATGTGAAAAATAATATTAACAATATTAATAATAAATAAATAATTCTTTTAAAAAAATAATTAGGGATTTCTCAGTCTCCCCCACCTTGTCTCCCTTATTTAAAGAAAACGTGTTCGAGAAGAATGACACCGAATACTGTTTTGCCTTCATTAGGGGACATATACTGAATGCTGAATGTCATTCTAATCTTTTTTTTTTTCAAGATCTTATTTGCATTTGCCCATATTCCATTTTTTCTCTCCCTATGTTTAAATGAAGTTTCAACTTATGGCAGCTGCCCATGACTACAATGTGTATTGAATCCATTTCACTTTTTCATGGCAAGGCTAAGTTGAGAATTGTTCAAAGCCTTGTCTTTCCCCCTCACAGACACGTGGGGGCGCCAGATTTACAGAAAAGGGAAAAGTTTCACTGTGGAATGAAACACGTTGCACTGATAATTTTTTAAATAGAATCAATATAGTATTCAATATAAAAAATTAGTAATTTGTAAGGACAAAATAAATAGCAGTCTAATGTATACCAATAATGTATACCAATCTGTTCTTGCCTGTATTTTTTCCTTCCAGTTTTAAATATTAAGATTATTCAATAGTAACACAGAAGATTTAGAGTAACTCATACCACTTTGAACTCAGGAAAAGAAATTATCCTTGACAATTTGTCATGGATATAAGAAGGAAGAGAAGAGGATCAATTTTACAATGAAACTGTAGTTCCAAACACTTATTAAAATCTTTTAAGATTCTTCTTGGTGGAAAACTCGGGATTGTATCTGTTCACATTTGCGTTTTATTTTGTATGTGGCACATTCGTGTTTACAAGGTAGAACAATCAACTCTGATTTTCTTTTGTCTTCCAGAACGGACTGTCTCCATTGCACATGGCCACACAAGGGGATCATTTAAACTGCGTCCAACTTCTCCTCCAGCATAACGTGCCCGTGGACGACGTCACTAATGACTATCTGACGGCCCTACACGTGGCTGCCCACTGCGGCCACTATAAAGTCGCCAAGGTTCTCTTGGATAAGAAAGCTAACCCCAACGCCAAAGCCCTGGTGAGTGGCTTAGCTAACCAGTCCAGATTAAGTTGTCTTGCTCATCTCATGCTATCTCTGCATGTGAAGGGATTACTTGAGATCAAAATGAAGGATACTAGTTAAATAAAGTGTACTACTTGTCAATCTTTTTCAACCATCCTTTTGGAAATATCTACACAACTTTCTGTTTCTGACATGAATAAGGTTGATGGAGGCAAATCAAGAACTTGATGGTCACACTAGTGCTTGCTTTATGTAAATGAAAACCCAAACTATAAAATTATAAAAAGATTAACATGGTCAACCTCAACCTATTATAGGTGGCATTGTGATTCTAAGAGTTAAAAGTTTTTTTCTAAGCTCAGGACCAGCAGATGACATAATAGTTACATCGCTGAACTTCCACATAATCGACCTTGGTTCAAGTCCCAGACCCGGTGGCTTAAAACACACCAGGCGCATGTGTATGCATGCCCAAAATCCTGAGAGGAGAATGGAGGAGGAGGGATTACAGCATGACCATGCCCCCAGGGGGATTTCTTGCTTTCTGTCTCTCTGTCCAGCAAGCACACATGCCCTATAGCAAAAGTCTTTCTTAAAAAAAAAAAAAGTTTTTTTCTGAACTCTAAAACTATGAGGCAAACGGGAAAGGTCTAATAATTTGTGATCTAATATTCTAAATTATGTTAACTTAGTTAATAAAATTGCAGGTCCTCTTTTTCCTTTTGCCAATAAAAATTGTGGTCTCAGGGCCAGCAGCTGACATGGTGGTTAAAGGGCTGGATTCCCACATGGATTACTGCAGTTCGAGTCCCAGACCTGGCAGCTTAAAAATCATGCACATGTGTGTGTGCACGAGCACACACAGGAACCCAAAATCCCAGGAGGAGAAAAGAGGAGAAGGGATGTGGCATGGTCAGCTCTCCTGAGGGGGTGGTGATTTCTCACTCCTTCGTCTTTGTCTGTCTTTAGTAAACACATGTACCCTGTGGCAAAGCCTTAAAAAAAAGTGTATTCTCATCTGTCCTTCAACTCTTAATGGTGCTATAATTTGCTTTTTCTCTGCAAGATGGTGTTTGTTGTCTTTGGAAAAATAAATGATCCCAATTTAGTAAGCTATTTAAATTTAGTTCAGAATTAGTACCCATGTTTAGGTAAAAAATAAGTCACCACATTTTAGGAAAAACATGTGGGTTAACTAGGAATTTTGAGGTAGGCTTTCATCCAATCAGCTCTTTCAGGAAGGGTCTTATTCCTTTACACGTGGTATCGTTGTCTTGAATGGATCCCTGCTGCTTCTGGTACTGTATGGGCGCTGAAATTTGGAGTGGGCCAGACCCCAGACAGCTTCGTTGCTTCTGTGATTGTGAAGATTTTACTCGAGTGGGATGTCAGAAATTGTTGATCTGCCCCGTAGAGCAAATGTGTCTTTGACTTCTGACAAGGGAGGAAAAGAAATGAACAGTCATAAATGATTTTTCCATATAAGAAAAAAGTCTTAAAATAGGGTGTGGGCTCTCGTTCCCATTTTCACAACATGTGGAGATTGTGACCAGTCATCCTGGGATGGACCATGGCCAGGAAAATGGTCTCAGGAACATCCTTGGACACACCTCCAAAAACTTTGATCTAGGCCTTTCCTGTAGACGATGGTATTTTGGAGAGCTCTTGAACGGCTGCTGAAATACATGTCGTCGTCTCGGTTATCAGGCAGCATCATTTGCTAGGTAGTTTGTTAAAAAGCAGGTTTTTTTTTTTTTTTAATTAGGGTAAGTATTAAATTAAATAATATTGGGTTGTTTAAATTTCTGCTGCTTTGGAGAAAGCATGTACTTGAATCTGAAAGCTGGAGAAAAAAATGAAAATATTTTAGCCCTGCTCTTGTAGTCATCTTTTTTTTTTTTTTTTTTTTTTAATGGAACTTTGTGCCTAA